AGAGAGAGAGAGAGAGAGAGAGAGAGAGAGAACTGATACTAAGTCCCCATAATTCTCTTGGAGGGCTCAACACCAATAACCTGAAGACTTCTTATTATACCTCAACTCAGAAATTTTCTACCACTTCCATGTGGGTGAAAGACACTGACCAGGCCATAGATTTGAAACTACAAAAAAAGACTCTTATCAAGGACATGGAATATGTGACATTCTTAGGCAAATAATTGTACCTGAAAGGTAGAGGAGGCAGTGGTTTCCAGAAACTGGAAGAAGGAAATTCTATCAGTCATAGCAAAACCAAGAGGATAAGGAACCACATGATTCAGTGAGTGGGGAAGAGGAAAATCAATCCCAAACACTTTCTCCCTTCCCTTCATTTGATTTACATGCACTTTATATCGGTCATACCCCACAAATATTTGAGACCAGAGAATAGTCTTGTTATTCAAATTAAGTTATGTCCCACTTATGACTGTTGACTGTTTACTCCATTTGTGACGGTATTATTGCAGGATGCTGTCTGTCTGTTTATACATCTGAAAGTTATGAACACAACCACACTTGTGTTTTTCATATAAGCTTGCAGAGAAACTGATCCAAGTAAGAAAAAAAAAACTAAGAGCAAGTACATTGGCACATTCCTGTAACAGGAGCTAACTCAGAAGATTCAATAAAAGGAACATAGTTCAAGGCCATACTGGTCAAAGAAGATAATGGGACCCTATCTCATAGAAAAGGTGTGATGATACACACCTGTAATCCCAGTTACATGGGAGGCAGGGGATCATGTTCTGAGGTTGGCTCAAAGCAAAAGTATGAGACCCTATCTGAAACATAACTGCAGCAAAAGGAGCCAGGGGTATGCCTCAAGCGATAAGAGCATTTGCCTGGCAAGGGAAAGGCCCTGAGTTTAAAATCTCAGACTGTCCAATATAAAAAATAAAAGAAGAAATGTACTTACCATGTATCCTTTCCGCTTTGAATTGTGTGATCACATGAGGTAGACATAGTAATACTAGCTAGTTTAGACCAAAATTATTCCTGCCAAATCTTATTTCTTTGTGTTTTATTAATCAGTATACTTTGGCAAGAAGTAATTGTAAATATCTTGCATTCCAAATATATTCCTCGATCTTTGTTGCCTAGTACAGACACATTGTCTCTGTAGAGACATCATTTATAGTTAGATTATACATAGATATAGATACAGATATAAATAAGAATAGATTATAGACAAGATCTTTCATCAAGCCCAATATAGAGACCATCTTTTCTGCATTATAATTTGTTTTCCTGTTTGATTTTGTCGTTTTACTTTGTTCTGTTTTATTTTTTCTTTTTGCAGTTGCAATGTGTTTCAGTTACTATGTGGATTCAGTTCAAAGTGGTTAGAAGGAAAACTTCAGCTTCAGATTCAGGGGAATGAAATTAGGAGCCTCTTTCTATAGGAGCCATTATTCCTCTAGGGCCAGGGTGGGAATGTCTGATTGGAGGGCTGTATAAGGACTGTGAAATCATGTGTTGCATGACAGGACACATACATATGCTTCTCTGATGCTTCTCACCAGCTGCCTGTGCCTGTCTGTATTGATAATTTTGTAGGCCTACAAATCATGTCATAGATATCCAAATGGACCTTGGCAGAAGAAAGGTTCTCATACCTGTTAGGCAGTGGAAGTTGTATCCCACCCACTTCTTTATTAGTTGGCAGGAAGCAAATGTGTTCAATGGGCATGATAGTGACAGGACACCTTCACTTTCATTCCTCAGTTTCTAGATCTTTTTTTTCCCTGTGGCTATTCAGGAAGGGTTCATTGCTTTCTATATAATGACATCAATTTTCATTGTTATTGCCAAACAAATACACCCAAAGTAATGTAGAGAAAATTATTTAAGTCTCTCATCCATGCAGAGGCAAAACTAATGTGAACATGAACCCACTCAATCTTCCCATGTGAGCAAATAGCCTCCTGTTTGCAATACAATATTATCATTTGAAGGTGTTTTAGTGTAGGCTGTTCAGAAAACAGCATGCTTTTTTTGTCCATGTATAGCTGTGCTCATATTACTATAGTCAGAAAGCGTAAATCCACTCTCAGAATATGTTTCAGTGGCACAAATCCTCTCCCTTCTTAAAGGGAATGTTCTCATGCACTCTGTCTGCTCCAGGCCATCAGCTAGTCTACTAGAAATGGTGCTATGTCAATGCCTTGGTGATGCTCATTACCACTGAGGGTGGGGCCAGGAGATGACTGCTGTCTAATGACCAATCATCTTGCTCATCTGATTCTTGACAGTCACTTCTGCCATGGATGTGACTTGGTGAGCATTGAGTGACACACTAATATCTTCACATTTTCACGTGTTGGTCTCTTTTGGCAAATCTGCCCACTTGAATTTTCTAAACCTCCCTACCACAGATTTTCTAGTTTTACTCTTGTTCTCTCTGACTGTTGATTACTGTGCATAAGTCAGGATGGATCCAGGCCTTGAGGAAAATATTTTTGAACAAAAAATTAGCTGCTAAATATTTCACTTAAAATCCTGCCAACCTGGAGTATTTGTGTTTATTACTGTCTTCTGATGCCAGTCATGAATTAGACTGAAGGAGGGAACTTATCCAATTGGCCTCATACGTCATTGAGACCTACCCACAATTCAAGCTTGGATTTACTTTCCTGTTACCATAAGGTATTAAAAAGCATACCTTAGCCTACAAATGTCAGATAGGGTGAGGAGATGAGCAGAGACTGCAACAGTACAAGCAGTCAGGTGTGCATTTGGGCTTAGTCCCTTATAGTGTAGCATCTTTTCGTAGTGGAACTTGGTTGCATATGTTCAGTGGATCAGATAATAACTAGTTCAAGATGGGGAGTTTGGACTGAACAGTCACTTAGTAACTCACTGTCAATGTAATTGTTTCTACCAGAGCCCAGTAAAGAGCACATTTTGAAATAGATAATATATTATTTTCTGTTCAAATGGTCTTTCTGTAAAGCTTAAAATGCCCGACCTATGATTATCATGTAAGAATTCCAAAGTCTCCATGCAGCATCTCTGTCTCTCATAGTTGTTTATACTGTTTTTCCTTCTGGTGGCCATGGGTACAGAAGGAGAGAAGTCTGCAATTCCATTGAAGAGCCTTCTCTTTTCAGGTTTGGTGCAGAGCTGGCAGCTTTACAGGCCACCTGGGAAATAGAATAGAATCTTGTGCAAAAGTGATTCTGTTTTTCTTCAAATGGCTGAATTCAATTCCTCTTTTGTTTTTGCACATGTACACTCCCAACAGTTTTTCTCTCAGTTTGGAAAAGTATGTCCCAATATATCCCAGACTACTGGGTCACTACAAACTTTCAGGGCATTGCAAGCTGTAAAACTTTCACAGAAATTTCTCTTCAATTGTCAATCTGTATGCCAAGGTGGTCTACTTCCTTTAAACACAGTGGCTCCCTCTGTCAATAGGAGATGTGTAGGAATTTTGAGGTTCATAGTATGTCACATAGAACAGCACTGAGCTATGGGAAATGTGTTATTTATGATACCCATCCAGAAAGCATTTCTATTATGTTTTCCTTTTCCCTAATTTCTTTATCCTTTCAGTAAAGGCCCCAATCCCTCCTCACAAGTATCTTTACCTTTGCCTAAAAGTACAAATAAATATGAGTCCCTTATTTGTGTTACAAATCTTCAACTTTCATTATGCCCTCTGGAACTTTATCTTTTCCCACATTACAGAGGAGAAGGATTTTGCCAACAGTGACAAGTGACCTTTGTTGGTTTGCTGTGTACATTCAGGGAATTTGTTTCCATTTCTCTTCTTGCCTATAGAATTTCTCCAGGTTCATATCAACTATTTTTCATCATCTTTGCAGTCGCCTGTATCTGTTGTGGCAATGAAGTGTCACAAATACTTGTTCTCCCAATACCTTTCTCCTCTCCTTGCACATCATTTCTTGTCATCACTAGTGATGATTGATTACTCATGACTCTCTCTCTCTCACTATGGATTATCTATGACCCAAAAATATTATTGCACTCTACATATGCACACAGGTATTAAATTTTTAAATGAACAATCTTCTATTTAAGTGTCTGTTTACTGAAACTACTGCTGGAATGCCAAAAAGAGTGGACATGTTCATCAAAATTAGTTGAAGAGTATTTATTTGCAAAGAGAACACTGACAAATTAAAGGTTTAGAGAAGCCAAGAAGAAAATGCTTTAATTTAAATCTAAGAGCAGCCAAGCTATCACCACCACTCTGGGCATAGTGATGAGCCATTGCTAGACGCAGAGAAGAGGCATTTGATGGAAGCTCACTGACAGAGTAGTGACATAATTTCTAGTTCACAGCCAACTTGAGGTGACATTGTAGGATGAAGCTGAGAGAAAAAAGCAACCTGTCTTGGCTCTCTTCCTTTTAATCTCCTGCCTAATCACCAAAATGGTCTTGCCTTCTGGAAATCAATGCATGAAAGGGGTTTTCCTTTTAATATAATTCATTCATTCTTAAAAGGAGTAATAGAAAAGTGAAAAGTGGACATTGGACATTAAGGCAACATAAAAGTTATCTAAGAAGTTATTTTATTCTGTTTCTTTAGAATTAGAGATTATTTAGTGGATTAGTGGGATCCTCAACCTGTTTGATGAGAGAATGAAAAATTAATGTTAAGCAAGTATGGATGAGTGGTTGCCTGGACATGTCCTTCTTCAATCACTAATCCAATTCATTTTAATCCAGTGGTACTCTCATGTTCTCTGTCCACATTGCTGACAATCTATGAAATCCTGCATCTGTCACCTCACTCTATTCTTTAATATCTACTTTTCCAGACATTGAAAAGCTAACTCAGAAATAGAGGGTTCTCAGGGAAGTGGACAAAATGCAGCACACCATGGATAAAATAACCATGTGCAATGATGATTTCAAGGACAGATGTTTGTGGGTCACTGAGCCCACATCTCTACAGTTGGTTTCAAATAACACTTGTTTATTCTAGAGGAACTTCTACATTCTCACATTGCCCACTGGTGGTCACCAGATGGAGAGAGGCTTGCCTTCCTGATGATAAATGACTCCTTGGTGCCTAGCATGGTTATCCCTCGGTTTACTGGAACACTGTATCCCAAAGCAAAGCAGTATCCATACCCTAAGGTAAGCCATCTGGGAATACTAGTGTGTTCCTTCTCTCTACACTGGTTTAATGGAGAGCTTTCTTGGTTCATGAACAAGCTGTCTTTGGAAGAGAGAAAAAAGCTCTATTGGTAGGCAGATTGATCATTCTTCAGGGTTCTATAAATAGTGAAGACACCCTGCTGAGTAGAAAGAGGTAGTAATGATTTGAGGGTTTAGGAAATTACCCTCTGCTAAACACAGACACACACACACACACACACACACACACACATATTTTTTTTTCCCGGTGATCATTCCTATTTGTTTCTCATTTTCCTAGTTGGAGAAAGAGGGAAAAATGGTAAGAGGCCAAACTGCTGTTAGGATAAATGTTACTCTGAGGAGTTGAGAATAAGTGTTATTAAGAAAGGAAAGTGTTGTAGTCAAATAAATTGGAAGTTCTTACTTGTTTTTTTTATTTTTTTAAATCAAGCCTTTTCACAGAGAAAGTGCTCTCTTATCTAAGAGCATTTAATATACTATATGTTAATGTATATTATAAATCTCCTATAAAAATTGACTGAGCATAAAGTATTTCCAGTAAGGAATAGTCTAAGCATAAAGAATCTCCATAAAGAACAGACAAAGCATAAAGAATCACCAATAAAGAATAGCCTAAGCATAGAGAATTTATTAGTATTAGTATTAACATCAGCATTATTTTGGCAGAGCATACTATGGAACATGGTTTGTGAAATGCTGGCTTTGAATCATAGCAAGGGGTGAATAGGATGGATGAAAGGGTTTTATTGGGAGAGGAACATGTGAAAATCCTGCCTGCAAAGCAGAACTATTATCAAGTATATAATGAGGCCACTAGGAACAGGATGTAACAACATTACAGTATATTGCGTTTTCTGTTGTGGGTCATCCTTAATTTCTCAAGGACTTTCTAAAAACCACATTTCCATCACATGTTTATATAACAAAGAATAATGGCTCATGGAGAGACATTAATGGCTCATGGTGAGACACCCTGTACATTAATCATTTAAAGATGTCGTATAGAAAACCTCAGACATTTTTCTTGGCATAATTTAGTAGCTCTTAATTAATTAAAAAAGGCTGCTGGTTTCATTCAGAAGCTGGTTGTAAGCCATCCCTTTAGAGAGTTGTACTTTGGTTTTCCTTAGTACAATAGGTTTTCTCCTTTTGAGTCTGTGCCTTGTGTTATATTAGCTGGGCACAGAACTTGGAAATCCCCACAATCATAGTTGATCTCAGTGTGGGGTGAAAGCACAGCAGGTCACATGGAGGTGAGGTCAATTACACTTTCCTCCTCCCTCTCCCACCCACCAGACTCCAGTTATCAAAAATGAAGATAGAAAGTCATTAGACTTGAACAAGCAGGAGAGCTTCTGCACTCCTATTTCCTTTCATTCCATCTTCTACTACCTTTTTAGGTTATCGTATTAAGTACAAGATTGAGAGGAATTCACTTCCATGACTTGGAAGTCATGTTTTAAGGGTTTCTCTGCACGAAGATTAAGATAAACGTATACTCAGAGTTCTTTGGAAGAAGATGGTAGTCTAGCCTGGCAACCAAATAATCTAGTTTCCTCTTCATTAAAAAATTGTTATTGTATTTCACAAAAGGTCTTATGACTTTTCCAGTTGTAAATTTCATGGCGTATTTTTTTTTTTTTTGGATAGGGGGTCCGGTTGTGGTGCCTGAACTCTGGGCCTGGGCGCTGTCCCTCAGCTCTTCAGCTCAAGGCTAGAGCTCTACCCTTGAGCCACAGTGCCACTTCCGGCTTTTTTTCTTTTTGCTTATGTGGTGCTGAGGAATCAAAGCCAGGGCCTCATGCATGTAAGGCAAGCGCTCTACCACTGAGCCACCTTCCCAGCCCCTTAGTAGCGTATTTTGTTGAGGTTTGTACCTCTGTAGCACAGCTAAACCTTTTTTGTCTGAGAAAAATGAACTGAAGTATTCTCAAACATATTATTTCTCACATACCTTAATAATGATGAAAATCTTCCTGGCAATTAAAGGAGAAAATTAGAGAACTAGGGACATACTATAAACTCTTCAGTGCATTGAACAAATACTAGGAATTGAAATCATGTACAACTGTTCAGGCCCACAAAAAGGGGATAAAATCAGACCTGTGAAAGAGGCAACACTTGATAATTGATTTTCAAAGATGAGTAATGGCTCTCTGATTCCCATAGAAAGCTAGATACATTAGCTCCAGCTTCAAGTTGCTTCCTCTCTTAGAGATAGCCCACAGTGTTTGAACTTCATATTTGTAGGCTTTGTAACTTCAGCAAAGTCAAATAGAAACATCTGAGAAAGTTCAAATATATCAGCAGGAAGTCAGATGGCAATACAAAACAGGACAGTTTATTATTTCATAATTTTATGTAATTAATCATTTAATAATATATAGTGACATACAGATATTGTATAGTTCACAAATATTAACCTTATTTTATGTTTTCTGAGAGATTTTTTTTGCCACTTTTTTCTTATTTGGACATGATCACAATCACCTGCATTTTATGAATGGGAAAACTAAGATTGCAAAAGGTTGAGTTTTATAAAAGTCAAAGCTATTTTGAGAAGAGAAAAATAACTCAAATTTATTGATTGCATTTCTGTCAATAAAGCTACCAGAGGTCAACTCAGATTTCAGAAGATGCAGCTGAAGTCAAAACATCTTCTTGTCACCTTAACAACTATTTGTGGACCTGTTTGTTCCATTTATACCTAATGACTTAGTTATATATGGGAAGCAGTCTCACACCTGGAATATATGAATATAACATGATGGAGGTCCTGAGCGTAATGACTACAGGCTAAGAGTACTAAAAATAATACACAGAAATGAGCATAGAGGCTGGTTAGAGCAAGACAAATGACCAAGCATGCCTGTCCTCAGGTGGCTGATATTTAGAATTCCTGGTTCAGTACAGAAGACAATAAATAGGACTCAAAGAAATTAGGGCTTACTTTGGTCCTTGTTCTCAGAACAAATGCCAAAAAATTTTGATGATCATATTTTAATTTATAGGCTTAGTATCTTCTACTCATTAAAAATATACTTGTTTTCCCCAAAAATAAGCAAACTACTTCAACTCACTCCTGTGCAATAAACTTTCAAACAGTGGTTCTCTAGAAATTGAAATAACATATAGAGTTCATACTTAATTGTGCTTTTCATTACACTAGATTAAAATTAGTTCAGCAAATACTCAATATGGCTGAATTTACTAATGAAATACTTCCACCAAACAAATATATTTGTATTTTACTTAATTCAGCATAATTCAGAACTCATAAAATACCCCATCATTAGCAATTCAGCACAAAAGAATTGCACAGTTCTATCTCAGTAACCTCAGGTTAATCTTCTTAATTAAAACATTATCTCGTTTAATGACAATTTAGTTGCCAGTAAAATAAGGTTAATTATTATTAAGGCTTGTATTTCAGAATCATAGAGGAAAGCATTCTGCAGATTCACAGTCTTTGTGGCAAATGTCACTGTTAAAAGCAAATAGATTAACTCTTCTAATTTGCAAACTCTTGAAATGATTCAAATACTAAAAGGCTGGATGTGATTAATTTCAAAATCCCATGGAAAAATAAAAATATAATTGAGATTTTTGAAATGCTAAATTTCTGTTGAGTTGTTCACATTTTGTCTAAAATCTGGCCTCATGTGTACAACTTTTAATTTGTATGCATGGAGAAGCTGTTTTTAGATACAGTAATCTTCCAGGAAACTTGCAGTACTATTGACAAAACTGACAAAAATATGACAATAATCTGTTTTTGACAATACGTCAAAGTATTCATCATTGGTAAGAATCCATAGTATGATCAAATTCAATTTGATTATTAAATGGTATAAATATAAGAATGATTTTTCACTGATTAGAAATTAACAACTATCATTTTAAACTAATGCTATCTACTATTTTAGAATCTTTATGTAATCATCTTTTAGTTTGTTCACAAAGTAGAACTGATATATTTTTATTCCAGAGAACAGAAAATTTTGACCCTGAATGCCTGACTTGTGAAGTATTTTTATAAAAGTGTTTGTCTCATTTTTGATAATCAAGTAAATAATACTTGAAAAATCTTAAGCATTTGACCCATGATTCATCTGAAGTAAATAAGAGTCAAAATTTGGGTGATATTTCTCTGACTCACAGATTAAACTAGTTCTTAAAATGTGTTTCTTTTTCATTAGTGTCAGGGCTGTCAGACTACATTAAAGGCCCTTAAAGACAAGCTCTGCAGACTGCTGAGGTAGATGAGTAGGATAGACAGAGAAGACAATTGAGCCCAGGCATATGAGAGTTTGAAGCAATGTGAAGTTTTATAAAATTTGATGCATGAGTGTTCTTTGTGAACAGGGTCAGAACTTATCTCACAGGAAGCCCTTTACTATATGAATAATTCTCTCTTCATAAACATTGAATCTGTAGTCAGACTCCTGACCCCTCTCTTAGGCTCTCAAATTCTAACCTGAGTATGAAACACTCCTACTTAATTGCCTTTGATTACTTAACCAAATAATCTCTGTGATAGAAGAGATTCAAATCAGGGCCTTTTACCATATAAGAGTTATACCATTTGATCCTTTTGTTTTAATCTTGTTTTACAGATAAGACTCAGGCTAACTTTGCCTAGTCTTTCATCAAACTTTGACCCTCTGCCTCTGCTTCCCAGATTGTTGGGATTGTCTGCAAAAGCCACCACCTCCAACCAAAAAGAAACTGTAGAGTCTGAGTGGAATATGTTGTTATTTCTGGTCCTGACTTAACTCTGGATGCATCAATGCCCACTTCTTGAATATGAATCTATATTTTTTTCAAATCTTTGAATTGGTCATCCTCCATATTTTTAATTCACCTCATTTTTAATTTCCTTCTTCTCTTTATATTTCATCCAGTTCTTGCTTAAAGTCTTATTGCTTAGAAAGAAACACATTGAACCAAATCAACTGATTTGATATCTCATCCACTGTTGAAGACATTCATTCATTCAAGCTGCCATGCTAGTTAATTATTTATTTAATAAATTTTTGTTCTACGGAACTATCCTTACCACTGTGATCTAAATTTATGCCATATACTCAGGGAGGAAACTTTGCCCATCTTTCAAGGATCATTTAAACAAATGAGTCACCACATTTAAAATCAGTAAATTTAGAAGGAAAGCCAGGCAGATTATGCATTGGAATACATTATTAGCCTTCATAGAATATTAAGCATATGATACACACTATATGTGAGTAGAATTTCTATAATTTTACATGTTGGAAGGAGTTTTCTCCCTCCTTTCCCTCCCTCCTTCCTTCCTACTATCTCTCCTTCTTTCTTTCCTTCCCTTCTTCCCTCCTTTCCTTTCCTCCTTCCCTCCTTCTTCTACTTCCTCTTTTTCCTCCCTTTTTCTTTCCTTCCTTCCCTCTCACTGAATTTCAAGTGCTATAATGAGAATAGTGCCTTGATCTACTAGTCAGTCTGCTCAGCCAGCCCTTTTGCTGTGATTCTAGAGAAAGGAAACAGTAACTGCTTAATGAATAAAGCAATCATGATTTTCTATCACTTTTAATTGTCTGACTAAAATGCTTAAGAAGCAGCAATCTACAAAAAACAATTGAAAGCAATCAAGTTGTTGAATTTCAAATCATTTCTACTTCAGAGAAATCAAACTTTCCCCCTATGACACAGAAAAGTAAATGAGTCAAATATGCCTTTTTAAAAATTCGATATAGTCTAATGCTTAATATATTTGCATTACAACTTTCATTTTCTCAAAGGCAGGTCAAGTGAACCCAACAATAAAATTATATGTTGTAAACCTATATGGACCAACTCATACTTTGGAACTCATGCCACCCGACAGCTTTAAATCAAGGTATGCAATTTCAATTTCACTTTTACGGGGAAATAGATATTTTCAAACCAATGATCATTTTGTTGCAATTTAGAGAGATGCGATCAGCTCAACAATTCCACTTGAAAATAAAGCTGAGGTTGTCCCATTAGTGAGGAATGAAGTCATTCTGCATATCTGGCTCTCCCCAACAAGCATTTCATTTCAAGGTGATTAGTGGCACCACAAAATGGCTGAAGAAACTGGGAGGATGAATTGAGTCTTTTGTTGGAGATATCTCAAGGAAATAAGAAGCAATGCTATTTTCCTGGAAAATAGTTTGTACATGTAAACAACAAAAAAACACATTGCTTTTTAAAACACCATAAACTCCATGTAATTTGTACAGTTTTTCCAACTTTCTTCAAACAGCTGGCCAAGGATTCTTTAGCATTTTTCTCTAGGCAGAGAAATTTAATGAGGTTTTGTTTCAAATTACCTTACATCAGAAACTTCCATATTTAAAAAGTTTCACATGGAAGGAAAAAAAAAATATGTGTCAAGTGCATGAATTTAATTTTAGCCAAATCATCTTTCCATTACAAATAATCAAAATAATTTTCATGTGCCATTTGAATTCCTAGAGTGTTTCAAATTTCAAAGGATATTCTTTCCTATGCGTAGCTTTGTCGAAATTTATCATAGTTTTGGGGATGGTAGGAAGTTGATTCAGGAAGATGCCTTCACATTATATTTAATGATATGAGACTTTGTTCAAAGTTTGTTTTGATGAAGTCTCTAATGCAGGGTAACTGAATCTAGTAGGTCTACTTGAATGGTGATTCATTTAGGAAAATTTTATCCTAGTTAGTGGTAATTACAGTATAGCCTAAGTTATATGGAGACTTTTCTATGGAGAAAGAATAAAATGCATAGAATGTTTACACTACAAAATCCTTTAACTACCTAATATAGACTATTTATTTCAATTGAAGTGAAAAATAAAATCCAGAAAGAATAATAGTGATCATACAACTTAAGAACTTGGTAGCAAAATCCTCCATGAAGTAAGATCAGGGCATCAAGTTACAGAGGATTTCATCTGCATTACATAGTGAGGCTTACAATAGAGTTCGCTGAGTGAGTGGAAAAGTGTATTTCTGAGCTTAGATGACCAGCCATGAATGACTTTTGCAGAAGTGCAGCAGTTGTGAAAACTGGCGTTTTGTGGAACCCATTACTCTTCCTTGTTGAATTGCTCCATACTCAGAAGCAACAAAAAGGGACACCTGACTAGGAGTGGTTGGGTTTCATGTCTACCACCTTTAACCATGTCATTTTGGAAAAGACAGTTTTCTTCTCCCAAGGTCTAAATCTTTAGTCTTCAGTGAATCATTTCTAAGTTTTTTCCATTTTTTTTTTGGTCTCTATAGCATGGTTTTGGTATTCATGTGTCTTTTTAACAGGAGGTAGTGATTCTTGATCTTTATTTTGATTCCTATATACAAAATATAAATATATACAACTGATTTATTCATTTTATATTTCCCCCATGTCCTAGTAATTCCATTGAATGTTCTTTTTTTGTTTTGCCTTTTGATTTTTTTTTTTTTGGGTCCGGTTGTGGGGCCTGAACTCTGGGCCTGGGCACTGTCCCTCAGCTCTTCAGTTCAAAGTGAGAGCTCTACCACTTGAGCTACAGGGCCACTTCCTTGTTTTGCCTTTTGAGTAGCTATGCTATTCTACTCATGTCATTTGTAATATTATTTAACAGTAACAGAAAAACAAATGATTAATGTATTATATAATATTTCACATGATTTTGTATATTGTCTAAGTAAGTGCTATGTTTGTGTACTTATCTGCACAATGCTAATTAATATGTGAACTATGTTGTAGTACTTAATATACTTAAAATCTATTTTCTTTGTGATTCTTACATTTTCTGCCACACATAAAGCTCAAATATGACCATCTCTCACTTTTCTAATAAATTACTGTAAAGATAAGAACAGACATGACTTTGTAGAAAGACAATTAATAAAATGAATATAAGAAAATATGATAAATATAGGAAAATATCCTTTTGTGATTGAGCTGCCTTTCAAACAGCATCTCTTGAGCCTACCCTAACAAACAAAAATTATTTGAAGTCAAAAATCTTAGGTCAAAAAAAATTTAGGTTATTTATTTTATTCTGTTTGATGGATTATTTTAATGAGTGAGTTATTCATATAAAACTGTATAAGTTAGAATTATATAATAAAGTCTTCAACCTAGAAAATTTGTTTGACCTTAACTTTGACTAATTTTTTACACTGTAGTGAGAAGCTTTGAACCTGTCAACTAAATATTTTAATTCATTTATATAGTTTACAAAGGAAATTAAAAGATTACAGAAACCTGTAAAAAGACATAATTCCTTTTCCTAATTTTTACCTTCAGGCAACCCTTTGTCTTGTGTATTTCTTTTTATTTATGTATTCCTAATAAACTCTTAGACTGCTAATACAGTCTTTCTTCTGCAGCAGTTCAAAGTCATTACCATGAAGTTCTTCTTTATTCAAACCATAGTCTGTGTTATTCTGAAAAGAATGTGCACTATAGGACTTAAGGTAATGACCCTTCTTGAATGTCCCCAGAACCAGTAACACTGGGAATCACATGAGTCATCTCATCCTGAGAGGCAAATTGTTATGCTATGCTTTTAGGGTACTGGAAACTCTCATAATCTTTTTAGAAAATCTAGGTGGGGATTTCAAACATATAGTTAATTTGTACTGAAAGAATTTTGTGATAATAAGTCACACAGTTTTTTCCTTCGATTAGGTAAATATTATATTAATTTGGAAAAAATGATGCCTTGTTCTTTGTGTTCACTGAACTCATGTTCAGTCATAGGAGTAAAAGTAATGATTTGTCTTTGTATTCTCCTGTGTATTTATCATCATTTCACTCATTTGGAATCAAATCCCCCTGCTTTTAGGAACCACTGTTCTCCATCTGCATTTTTGATGTGGCAATACCATATTGCTTTTCTCACTTAGGGCTCAACACCATCATGCTTTTTCTTCCTAAGGTATTGGCTAGAATATATCTAGCCTACATTGTTCATTCTTCCAAGTAATATTTATATCTTCCAATATTTAATCCTGGGATTCATCTGTGTTCATGGAAGTCTCCTAGATAGCACGTCTTACAAGTAATGCATAGTTATTGTCAGAAGTTGGGGGACATTTCTTATAAGTAAAGCAAGATGAGCATTAAAATACACATCTAGGCAGAAATCTTTGAGTTAAATGTATGTCCCCAAAGATTCTGTGTGGACACAAAGCAGAGATTAGACAATCATCTATGAAAACACAGATGTGACTGCTAACTTACCAGTCTGCAGGTGAGGCTGCAACCTCCATTGTACAAACCCTTGTGGACAATTAGATCTCCTGTGCCAGACCACCCAGAAAATCTCTGTTGACTTGAGTGTAACCCTCTAACCTGCTTGTCTCTGTCTCTATGGCTCAAGAGGACCAGATCCTCGTGGACTTCCTGGGTATTCCAGAGCCATGGAGACTAGGAACAAGCAGGAAAGCCAGTTATAAGAAAGGGACACTTCTACTGGCCACTGGTCATGGAACACCAAATCTAATGTGTTCATGAGATGGATTTCCAGAAGAGCCACATCTGCAGCAGGTAGGAAAGGAGTGTGGAATTCTGGGTGAGGGCACTGTGAGACCTACTCCTCCACTAAGGGAAAGCCTGAATACTGACCCACAGACAGCATATGTCCATGTGAATCGTCAGAAATGTGAGCCTAGTATTCCATGGCAAAGAAAGTAAGAAAACAGGAAGTGACTAGTTAGTAATGTGTCTTTGCACTTTGCCTGTATGCCGATCTCTGCTTAAACATTCATTTTAGGTGTTTTCAACAGGAACATAACATTTTCAGAGCTTGGAAATTGTCTTTTGTAAGACATTATAATGCAATTTGAAGAACTCTCTCATTGAGAATTTGATTACCAAATACAAAGTGATATTTGGGTATAAATAAGATACAAACTAGTGTGCCCCATATCAGATTAAGTTTTGCTTAATTTTACAAAGAATACATATCCAAACCCCACCAATAATTTCCTTATCAATGGAAGTATCTGAATACAAGATAATATTTTCAGTTTAATAATTTAATATCTAAGTTAATTTGTGTAGCTACATACCAGATATAACTAAACAAAGGTGTTTTGTGATACCAGACTTTCTTCTGTAGGCTTTTTTTTGCGGGGGGCGGGGGGGGGGGATGATTAAAACTGGGCTGATTAGCTTTCATACAGCACTCATGGATGACACATTTCTAAAGCAATTTATATATTCTATAATCTGTGTAATGTTGTAGAAAAGTTGTTCTTTTTTGTTTTCACCATAAATGAAATCATTTCTGATGACTGCACTGTTGTATGCATGTCTATAAGAAGTTTGTGATATGTCAGTTTCCAAATGGAGAATATACATTTCATAAAGGAAAAAACATAAATTTGTTCACTCCAACCACTTTAAGACATTATAAGTCCCATTAATTAGCATTCCTAGTGTACTAAATGTTTTAATAGCCAATCACACTTTCAGTTTAATTTCTTCTTGGTTTTTAAATTGCTTCAAATAAATAAACCTTAACAATGTTGTACAAACAAAACAAATATCATGAATAAAAGGCTAGTACTGGCTTTTGATTCATAGCTGACAAATACCAAAATAAACTATTCATTCAGACATGTGTTGTGAAAGCCTTTGTGTATAAAATATGATAATATGAAGATCACAAATGAGGTATAATTATCAAGTCAAGATTAACCTTTGTCTTTTAATTTATTAATTGTACTTTTAATGAAATAATATAAAATAACTTGAAAATACATATTTGTTTTGCACATATACCAACCAATGAACATTTCTCATAGAAATCTAGCTAGCATCTGCTAATTTCAACTTTCCGAGAACTGCTTTTCTATGAATTCATTCATTCTTGAATTTATTCTTAATTTCCTGTGTATTTTTTTTGGGGTCCAGTCGTAGGGCCTGAACTCTGGGCCTGGACACTGTCCCTCAGCTCTTCAGCTCAAGGCTAACACTCTACCACTTGAGCCACAGCGGCACTTCTGGCTTTTTTCTTTTTGCTTATGTGGTGCTGAGGAATTGAACCCAGGGCCTCAGGCATGCAAGGCAAGCGCTTTACCACTGAGCCACCTTCCCAGCCCTGTGTATTTGTTTTTATATGCATATGTGTACCTATACATATGTTTATACATATATGTATATATCAAATATACTCAGTTGCATTATACATGCGAGTATTTTAAAAGAACAGATGTGTGCACATAATTACAGATAAATAATGTAGCATCCTTATAATTTTCAGTTATTCTTTTATGTGAAATAACAAGTGTTTAATTTTGGTTCTACACAGATTTTTTTAGGCTCTAAATATAAATGTTAATTTTTGTCTCCTAACTAGAGAATACTATATCACCATGGTTAAATGGATAAGCAATACCAAGACTGTAGTAAGATGGTTAAACCGACCTCAGAACATTTCCATCCTCACTGTGTGTGAGACCACCACTGGTGCTTGTAGTAAAGTGAGTATGACTTGCTTTTCTTCTGTGACAAAAAATGAAGTGCTCTATCATTCTTTGCAGAGGGAAATCAGGAAATAGTTTGCATAAATATTTTGGATATTTTCTAAAAAATGGGAGTAAATGAAATCAATAATAAAAAGTGAGCAGAGAGCTTTGAAATAATACATGAATTCCTACTTATATAAAGAGTAATTGTGTCCCATTATTTTCTTTCCAAAGAGGGGATTTTTCTCTGTATTTTGACATAAATTAACTTGAAATTATAGGAATTTGTTTCTGTCTTGTTCAAAGACATTTTTCTGTAGTACAGATGTCTCATAATAATCTTTCTGTTCTTTAGTTAATTAAAAATTGTTCTTGATCTACATTTTTTTTAACAGTGTAGCTTTTTTCCTTTCCTTTTCTTTTTCCTTTGTTGGTTATGAGGCTTGAAATCAGGGCCTGTGCAGTGTTCCTGAGTTCTTTTTTCAAGGTTAGTACTCTACCACATTGAACCACAGCTCTGCTTCTAGTTTTCTGGTGGTTAATTGGAGAAACGAGTCTAACAGACTTTCCTGCCTGAGCTGACTTTGAACCTTGATTCTCAGATCTCAGCCTCCTGACTAGCTACGATTACAGGCATGAGGCTCTAGCAACTGGCTCAAAGTATAATTTTAAATTAAAATTAAAATTAAAAAGATTATTATCAGATTTTGAATTTATAAGACCATTGAAATGATCAAAATGTTCTATATATGCAGAGAAGTATAAATATTGCATATGGCTCTCTCGGGACTAGTAGGTAGGAACTGAAGTAACAATAACTTTGGAAAAGCTATCAGAAAGAAATGAACAAGTTGAAGAATTTTCTTAATAAATAATCATATGAAAAATCTTCATAAACAAAAACAGAAAACATATAATTTTTTGGAAAATAGTGTTTGAAATGAAAATTTGAACAGATGGATTTTACATATCAGACCTTATTACAGTAAGGACAATAGAAATAATTAAGACTAAAGTGCAAAGAAAAATATGTGAATAATTAATAAAGCCTGAGTAACATTTAGAACACTATCAAATGGTATATTATTGTGAAATAATATGTTCAGATATCAGGATTTAGATCACTTGGGCAGGAAAAAATTAAGAATTATCACTTAACTCCAGATGCATTGTCTCTTACCTATAACACTAGCTATTTGGGAGGCAGAAGTTGAAGGACCACAATTAGAGGCCGGCCAGAACTTCAATTTTTTGGGATTCCTGAGGTTGGGTGCACTGGCACACACCTGTTATGCCAGCCTGGGCATAAAGCAAAACTCTCTCAAAAAAGAACCAACAGAAAAATGGCCTTGGTAGAGCATGTACCTTACAAATGTAAGGCCCTGATTTAAATCCTCAGTACAGCCCAAATAGTGAAATAAATAAAAATACTTAAGATAACTTAAAGTTTCTTAACAAGGAAAAGACTAGGTCACATTTCCAAAGGTTAGTGAATCCTAAGCAGTGAAATACTATACTTTGTGGAGGGGAAGGGAAAAAACAAATTGTTTAAATAGGGATACAGGTGGCCTCATTGCAACAATAAGATGTACAAGATGTTATGTCAAAAAATGAACTTTACAACTTGGCCAGGGGTGGGGAGGTGGGAGGGGGGAGATGGGCAGGGATGGGAAGAGGAAACAAAGGAGGAGGCAATAATGCTTGATAAGAAATGTACTCATTATCTTGCCCATGTAATTGTAAAAAAAAAAAAAAGTCTAAATATTCCCTACTGAAATTATTGCTCAAACTTTAACAGAAATAGTTGAAAGCATACCTGTAGAAAACCACATTAATAAAAGGGCATATCAATAATGTGAATTATTACCCAAGTTTCATCAAAACCAATGTTATTCAGAATGCAATTGAATGATGCTTTAAAATGACTTAATAGAAAATAATTAGAGTGTTCTGAGATTTTTTTGCTACTCTGTGTGTGTGTATGTGTGCCCATGTGCACGCCAGTCCTGGGGCTTGAACTCAGGCCTTGGTACTATCCCTGATCTATTTTGTTCAAAGCCAGTACTCTGAATTTTGAGCCATAGCACCTATGATGCTCAGATCTCAGACTTCTGAGTAGCTAGGAGTATAGGCATGAGCCACTGGGCAAGCAGCTTTGTTCTAAGTTTTTCTAGAAAGAACTACATTTGTGTATTTTATTTAAGCAAATTCAAATGATAGGACTAGACTAGCGATTGAAACAGTAATTTAATGATACATTGTTGATTGTTTGGGAAGATTCAGCGATTCCAAATAATTGCACCCAAGAAGAAAGTTTAAAATACCTAAGCAAAATGCATTAGCAAATGTTGGCAAAGCTAAACAGACATACGATTATATTTTGCTTATCTAAATAATTAGTGAAGAAGATTGGTATAGGTGAGAATATTTGGTTGGTATAAATAACAAAATTATAATTAGAAAACATTTTATCTAAGAAAGGATAAGAACAATGTTTACATATATAAAGAACTATTCACAAGTTTCAACATAAAATTAATCCTAGTATTTCTGTATTATTTGTAAGAGGATTAGGTTTGATATATGTAGTAAATCACCCATTATTTAGATTTCTAATCTATTACTCCTTCTGAGCATGATGCTACACATGTGTACATCACTTAGGAAACTAACACAGGAGGATCACAAGTCTAAGGGCAGCTTGGAATACACAACAAGACCCAAAGAAATTTAACTACTTAGAAACATTCTAGTGGGTATTGATGGCTCATGCCTGTAATCCTATCTACTCAGGAGGCTGAGATCTGAGGATCACAGTTCAAAGCCTGCTTGGGCAGGAAAGTCCATGAAAATCTTATCTCCAATAAACCACCAGAAAACCGGAAGTGGTGTGTGGGTCAAATGGTAAAGCATTGCCTTGAGCTTAAGAGCTGAGGGACAGTGCCTAGGCCAGAGTTCAAGCCCCATGACAGACCAAAAAAACCAAAAAGACAAAAAAACAAAAATACATACTCCAAATGTCCTTGAAGGTGAATTTAATTTGCCACACAAATAAGGTGTGAATTTTAAAACCTAATCACAAGAGAAACTAAAAACTATTTTGAACTGAAACATAATGAAACTGCATGCCTACCTATACTGATCAAGTGAGTGGTACTTAAAGTGTAATTTACATTTTTTATTGCCCATCTGTGATTACATCGATAAATATTATTCACAATTTGAATAAAAAATAAATGGAATGTGCCTATATGTACATGATAGTATACTATCCAGTCTTGAAAGACAGAAGAAGAATTTGCCATTGTAACAACTTAGGTGAACCTGCAGGACATTATTCTTATTGGAATAAGTCAAGCACACAATGATACAGTTTCACTGATAATTGCAATTTAAAAATTAGAATTCATAGAAAAAAAAGTAAGGACTAGCAGAATAAATGTTCGTACTCCAAAGATAAGTTGATCAAGTAATAAATATGCTAATTAATTGATTCAATCACTTTACATATGATTCACTATAATACATTTTACCCTGTACATATGAATAATTATTTTTGTCAACTAACAAGTAAAAACAAAAAAGAGAATAAAAGAGAAAAATGTGTAAAATGAATAAGAAAAATTCCCATTTAAAAAGTCAGAAAAGGCAAATTCAACTCAAACTAAGCAAATTATAAAGCACAAATTAATAAAAGAGAAAAATAATTGAGAATTCTATGACAATAAAAATTGTATCGTGAAAGCATTAATAAATTATGGATGTTGATGTAAAAAACCACACATTCAATGCAATGCTTAACAAATTCCAATAACATTCTTCAATGAAGTAGGGAAAGCAATCCAAAAGTTCATATGGAAAACAAAAGACCACAAATAGTGAAAACAATGCTTAGCAGAGAGAACAAGGTAGGAGGAATGCAATACAAAATTTCAAATTCTATTACAAAGCCATAGAAATAAAAACAGCTTGTTACTGGCACAAGAATAAGCTTGAACACTAATGAAACAGAAGACCCTTATATGAACCCACAGTCCTATAGCCATTCAATATTTGATAAGGGAGCCAAAAGCATAGGTTGGAAGAAGCACAGGCCCTTCAGCAAATGGTGCTGGCAAAATTGAGTATACAGGTGCAGAAAATTGAAGCTATATCACCCTGTACCAGAATCAATTCAAATGGAATCAGCAATTTCAATGCAAAGCTAGAAAATATGAAAATATTAGGTAGAGTAGGACTCCTAAGCACAGATACAAACTTTCTAAGATCCAGAGTTATAACAAATCAAAGAAAGATTGGGTAAATGTTAATGCATCAAACTGAGAAGTTTCTGCATGGCAAAGGACATAGCTAATAAGCTAAATAAAAAGTCCAGAGAATGGGAGACATTTTTTCTCTAGCTATACATTAGACAAGGGTTTAATATGAAAATATACTTAGACCTCAAAAAATTAAACTTCCCCAAATTAACCCTCAAAGAAACAACAACCCAATTAATAAATGGACTAATGACTTAAAGAGAGACTTATTAGAAGAAGTAAGAATGACCAATACTATACACATAGAAATGTTCAACATCTCTCTGTCCATAAAAAAAAAGGTAAATCAAAACAAAGTTGAGATTCTACCTCACCAGAGTTAGAATGGCTATTAACAAGAAAACTAACAATAACAACTGCTGGCTAGTATATGGTCAAAAGGGCACTCAGTTGCACTGTTGGTGGGAATGTAAACTTGAAACACTCTGGAAAGCAGTATGGAGGTTTCTCAAAAGACTAAACATAGAACTTCCACATGACCCAGATATTCCACTTCTGGACATTTATCCAATAGAGCATAAACAGGGCCACACTAAAGTGAGCAGCAAAACCTTGTTCGTTGCAGCACTATTTACCATAGCCAAGATATGGAATCAGCCCAGATGCCCCTCAGTTGACATATCTATCTATCTATCTATCTATCTATAGATAGATATATGAATTTTTTTCATTCATCAGAGAAAAAGATATTGTACCCATAAGGAAATGGAATGACTTGGAAAAACTGGTTTCCCTCATTTGTGGTAGCTAAAAGGTGTCTGTAGATCTACAAACAAACACTGAATAGTAAGCAAAGGGTTACATAATGAACTAACTGAAGTGTAACAGACTCTATGGAGAAGACAAATAAACTATGTCAAATCCAAACAAAATAAGTAGCAGGAAATGGGGACTTGTAAAACTATAGGGTGGGGCCAAGGAGAAAGAAGTAGAAAATGAAGCAAAAGCAGGGAAAATGCAGGCAAGAATTAATTACAGATACCACAGAATTGAGAACTGTAAGGGAAGGAGTGGGTGACATGGGGGTGACAATGTTGAAGTTGTTTATGATTCATTATACTAACACAAACCACTTTGTTAAGTGGCAAAAAAATTGAATACATAACCTAAACTTAGGATAAAGAAGGCGAGGGCTGGGCTGAGAAGGGTGGGTGAAAATGTAGAAAGGCATGACACTGTATTCATATACTTCCTTGATGAAAGGCAACTCTTTTTTATAACTATTTGGACATAATGAAAATATTTTAAAAATACAAAAATAAATATAAAAGAGCAATAGGTGCTAAGTACCAGTTGCTCATGCCACACAAACAAAACATAAGGAAATGGTACATATCAATAAAAAAAACTAAAAATATCAAAATATGTAAAGATAAACTTAAATAGAAAGTACTCATAAAAATATGAAAAACTATTCAGCATAATCAAACATGAAGGAAATGTAGTTTGAAATAATCATGAAACAATGTCCTATATCAATCATGAGATGGCTAAATTTAAACAATAAAAGACTGCCTTTATCTTTTGATGAAATGGTATAAAACTAAAATTCTCTGTAAGTGGGAAAATAAAATGATGCAATTACCTTAAAAGTTAATTTTCAGTTTCAAATAAAATTATACATACATATACACATAATGGTTAATTTTTGTGATATTAATAGATAAATTAATATGAATGTAAACATGCTTTATTATTCCATTTTTATTTTTCCAAATATTAAAATATATGTCTACCAGAATATTTTGACATAATTAGGAAGTTTTACTCATGGTAACTAAAATTTGGAAACTCTCCAACTGTCCATTATTAGGTGGATGAAAAATAAGGTATATGCATCTTTACAATAAAATCCTGCTCAGCAATTTAAAAATGGAATAGAGTAGAACCCTCAGACATTCAAGAGTATGAATGAATCTTTAAAAATAGCTGATGTGAAAAATGCCTCCACCCATGTATGTAATGTGGTCATAATGTATGATTATGATTTTCCAAGTTTCCATATCCAAACTAATCGATGAGAAAAGATCAGAGCAGTGTTTGGCTTTTGGTAATCTCTGGGAAAGGAAGAGCCTGGGGGAACTTTCTGAGGAGATGATGGTCCTGGTGTTTTTGTTGTTCGTTTTTGTTTTTGTTTTTGCCAGTTCTGGAACTTGAACTCAGGGCCTGGGCACTGTCCCTGAGCTTCCTACCACTTGATCCACAGGGCCACTTCTGGCTTTTTCTGTTTATGTGGTACTGAGGAATTGAAACAATGGCTTCATGCATACTGCAAGCACTCTATAACTGAACCTACATTTTGATACAGTATAAATACACTGATAAGACTTTATCACCTCTGTACTTAAGGATGGTACATTTCAGTCCATGAGAATATTTTTTTGAACCACTGTCTTAAAAATATTCTGAAAGGAAGAAACAAAGTGGCAAAAACAACTGTGATTAGAATGGTAAAGATGTAAACATAGATGCAGAAATGAGATTGTTGAGCCAGTCATAACTTAATGGGTCTGATGTTGCTATGATATTGCATATATTATATATATGATTAGCAAATTATCTCTGCCATCTCTTTCATATGGGTATATTGTAGGTTGACCAGGAATTCTCCTTGTATTTGATGGGTTGTTCTTGATGGGTTCTTATTTAACTGAATACTATGTCACTGTAAAATTGTCTTACACAAGACAATATGTGAACAGGGTAGCAAGTTAAACAACTAGCATGTATGTGACATTGGGCATGATCACTCAGAAGATTCTAGTAAATCAGAGCCTGCTACCTTCTCCATAGAAGGATAATTAAATATTTTCGTTACATATGTATAACTGCAAGGATAGCTTGTAATGTTACAAAAATAAAAGTAATAATCTGAGTCCTATCATTCACTTGACAACTTAGTCATATCCTTACATAATCCTAAGTAATGCTGGGAATTAAAAAGATTTTGTTTTCAGCTAATAGTAATTCTAAGACCAAGTATGATACCTGAACTTTTTAATTCTAGTGACCCTAATAATTTAATGATTTAATAATTTAATTTAATGACCCTAATAAGTAGTGACATCAACATGAATTTACCTCAGTCCTTTTTATGAATGAAGAATTGTTGTTGTTGATGAAGTACTAATAGAAAACCAAAGCAAAGTCTAGTTCAATGTTGTTTTTTTTGTTTTTGTTTTAATAAACATATTCTAAATCTAGACACCAGTAGAACACACGTTGTAGCTACTTGAGAGCCTGAAATTAGGGGCACTGAAGTTCCAGGCAACCTAGGCAGAAAAGTTCATGAGATCCCTTCTTTTTTTTTTTTTTTTTGTCGGTTGAGGGGCTTGAACTCTGGGCCTGGGCGCTGTCCCTCAGCTCTTCAGCTCAAGGCTAGCGCTCTACCACTTGAGCCACAGTGCCACTTCCGGCTTTTTAGTGGTTTATTGGAGATAAGAGTCTCACAGACTTTCCTGCCCAGGCTGGCTTTGAAAGGCTATTCTCAGATCTCAACCTCCTGAGTAGCTAGGATTACAGGCGTGAACCACTGGCTCCTGGCATGAGATTCCTTTTTAACCCATAAAAGGGCACAACGGCATGCATTGGTCATCTCCAGCTATGTTGCCGGCTAGTAGCGGTAGGATACAGCTTCAGGCCAGCTTAGGCAGGGAAATCTGTGAGATTCTCCCACGACGGAAAGAAGCTGGCTGTCATAGCATATGACTGGCATTACAGGCACAAGAACGCCTTCCTTAGGTAGTTTGTGACACAGGATCACATCTATGCTGAGATAGGTTAGCTTATTTCAACAAGAGCCAATGAAAAGCCGGGCTGGAGCAAGATATCCAGATGATCTGAATTTGGGTCCATTCTGGGAAGAAAACTCAATAAAGCTCCATATCTAAAAATTGACCAGCAAAATTCCAGATTGGAGGTGTGACCCAAATTAGAGAATCTAGCCATACCACAAACTGAGTGATCCTGGAACTAAAACAATTTGAAAGGTGTAGTTCTGTGTTAAGAAAAATATCCCTAACACATTGTACCTATTTTTCTTTTTTTTTTTGGGGGGGGGGTCCGGTCATGGGGCTTGAACTCTGGGCCTGGGCGCTGTCCCTCAGCTCTTCAGCTCAAGGCTAGTGCTCTACCACTTGAGCCATAGCGCCACTTCCGGCTTTTTTCTTTTTGTTTATGTTGTGCTGGGGAATCGAACCCAGGGCCTCAGGCATGCAAGGCAAGCACTCTACCACTGAGCCACCTTCCCAGCCCCTATTTTTCTTAATTTGAATACTTCCATAACAGAATAATTTCTTTCAGAGAGCTGTCAGGTATTTAATCTCATTACCTAGAAACATCATTACTGGAATATTTTATCTACACATAATGAATTTGAGATTAGCCGAATTTTGCTATATATTAGCACTATGATTTTGGTTCTGACCATTTGCAAGAATGTGTTAAATAATTTATGTTTCTTTGACATTTCAAATGTTTGATATTCTTTTAAAAACAGAAGTATTACTATTTAAAAAATGGCTATGGCTTAAAGTGGACTGAATATGGAAAGAATGTCCATTTTTAAATTTAATTCCTTGGCTGTTTGCCTGGTTCTATTAGAATCTGAATAATTATGTTTCCTGATGTTTCCTAGAGGTGAAAAAAGGCAATGTCTCATGGTTAAAAACAGTTCAAATTAGGTAATTAAACAGAGCTGGAAAGTGATCTTCCAGCCCTGTTTACATACAGCCTGAGATCTCTGTAAGAGTTGACTCACTCAGTTAAATCAATAATGATAATGAGAGCCTCTCATCAGTCTCTCCTGGTATTTTACTCATTGGACAGTAACAGACTAAATAGCATTAAATGTCTATTTGTTCATTTTGGTCTCAGATACTTTATGGAATTTGTTTTGTTTCAGAAATATGAAATGACATCGGACACCTGGCTCTCTAAACAGGTACTATTTGGGTAATCTGTGTCACATTTTGGTCATTGTGAACATTTGATTCAATCATTTAGCAATTAAAAACTTCATGTAAAAAATATTTCAATTCCATAACTTTAAGGTTTTGGTAGTTTTGACAATGTTTTTTTTCCTATTTATCAAGTCTGGTTTGGTATTACACATATTTAATCCCAGCTCTTAGGAGGTTTAGGAGCATCTCAAGGACAACCAGGACTACATAGCAAGTTCAATGCCCATAAACAAAAAAAAAAAAGTAGACAAATGAAATTTATGACTTGAAGCTTTTATGACTTTACTTATTAAGAAGTTACTTACATGTTTTATGTTACATAAATTTCTCAGTAACTACTAAGATACACATCCAGGATTATTCTTAAAAATAAATAATTTTGCAGATGAAGAGAAAAAATTTACAACCTGTTAAATTTAGAAAGCATTTTCATTGTTGAGATTATCCAGAAAATTTTCCAAATCTTCTGCCTAAATTGATCATGTGAAAATTATTCAGGTTAATACCTTTTTCCTTACCTATATCTTTGCTCATATTGCTATTATTTTGTGACATAAATTAGCCTGGAGTGTAGATAAAACAATAGAGAAAAAAACCCTGAATTTCTCCACAGCATGGTCTTATATTGGGCAATTCAGAAGGAAATTTAGTTAGGTTGTCCAAATACAACTGAATCCTTTTCATGGTGAATTATACAACTGCTTTTTGCCTAGGAAAACATTATGTTTTGGGTGGGTAGATTTTGACTTATTGTGTTCAATATAACTCTTTTATTCTGTATTCCTTTCCTAGGTATCATATGCATCCATGGTTTCAATTACTACCCATATATTGAAACCTCCCAATTTACAACTCCAGGCAATCCTATGAATTTCAAAATATCTAGATGTATTCATTGCATCTATTCAATTTATACAAGTAACTATATATTTCATAGATCCAAATTGAACATATTTGTCTTCCAGCCAGTTATTTCTTTTTATCACAAAATTCAGTAATACAATTATCCATCTAGCGATTGAGACCATGAACTAGGTTTTCCAGGAACTTGTTCTCATCCTTATTTGAATATGTAATTCATCATTAAGTTTTTCAATCTTTTATCACAATGATCTGTTAAGTTAATTGACTTTTCTCTGACTCACAGACACTATCCAGCTTGAAACAGTCCCTTTTTAATAATCTGTCCTTAATTGGCAAACTCTCAACCCCTCAAGTACCTGCAAATCTGTTAATACTTCGGGCCACAAAGTGGCTTATGGAAATCTCCATTTAATTATAAAAATGAGCATCAATCTCATGATTCTATATTCATAACTCAAACAATTACTGTTCCTTCATTTTTTGTCCTTCAGATCATAACCAACAGCTTTGTGGTCCACAAATAATTAACTTGGGTTAGGTTTCAGCTGTATGTCACACCATTCTTACACTGTTCTCCATTCTAGCTATTTTAGCTTTCATATGCAAAGAGTATGTGGCCCTTCCTTGGGAACAGAAATCTCTCAAATATTTTATCATCTGAAGTGTTTTCAGTTTTTAGTCTCATCTTATATCTCCTACTTAAGTCACTCTCTACTCACACTAAGCGTGTTACATTTTTCAAATAAAATTACTTCAAAGTCAAGGGCAATACTTATATAGCTTGTCTAACTATTTATGTAATCAAGTACAAGGGCAGAAAGGATGTTTATTTGTTTGGTCTTTATTATTACAAGGCTTGAGCAGAATTCAGTATACAAGTAAAGCTCCATAAATATGTTAAAAAGGAAAAGTCAAAAGGACTGTAAGAAGTCCTTAACCCTTACTTGTTTGAAGTATAGATATACAGATAGAGAAATTAGATGGGTGATAGATAGATTTGATAAGCATTAGTTTTCTTCAACATATATTTTATGCATTTGCATGTATACATGAATGAATATTTATCAATGCATGTAATTTTACTCTAGTCAATATACTAGTTAAAATTGCAATAAGAGTTTGATATTCCAGCTGTAATGGACTCTCACTAAATTAACACACATACTTAAAACAATAGAAAGCAAGTTTATAATGGATATTGAATTATTCTGAAATATATTGTTTTATGATAGTTATTTTCCATCATTTTATGGCTAGTGACATTTATAATAGTTTACCAGACATCACTAGATCTAAATTCAAAATCCCAAGTCTATGAATGTTTAATAGAAAAATTTTAAAGCAAAGCATCCAGTTATGAATTATTCAGTAAGAAAATGAAGTTTTGATAGTTTATCCATGCTGATTTTTTCTCCATCAGTTCTAACATGATTTTATTGAATACTTAGAATTAAATAAAATTAATGAGATGAGCATGGTACCAGGAAAGGGAAGAACTGAATTTCTAAATAAATATCTGAGGTAATTAAAATTTATCACCTTATTAGTAGCAGGAAGGAAAGAGAGAAATAGACTTCATTGGCCTGATTTTAAGTTAGGTGATCGTTACATAATGCAGTTGGTTAATGAACAATATCCCAAGTCTAGCTCAATATCTATCAGGACCACTACTTCTTCATGATCATAAAAGTAAGCAGTGAGGTTGACTCTAATATAGAACTTGTTGCTTCTAGTCAAATATCATCCAGTGGTGAAAATTCATAAGTTCAACAACGCAATTTACATTGTAACCCCAATCTTTTCTTTTCTAAATCACTTGTAATGCTGGTGTTAATGTAATGGGAAGAATGCTTCAATATCAGTATGCTAAAGAATATTTCCATTTTGAGTAAAGGAGAGAGAAGTAAGAAAGGAGCCTGTGCATTGGAGGAAATATAGTATATAGAGTCAAACATATTTAAACAATACGTGTATCTACCACGTGTACACTCATATATTAAAAACATATGAAGTTGACATCTACTGTGTTCTAAGCAATCAAATTAAACAGACAAAATTGGAAATGGAGTATAATTATTAGTTCCCTGGTTAGGTAAGCCAGTTGGTAGATAATAAAATAGAATGCATTGGAAGCCATACAGAGGTAAATTAAGGATACAATTCAGGCTGTCCAAAAAGAAATTATTTAACTAGAAGAGATTCTTTAAGAATATTTGAGGATGGCCTATGTCTCCTGAAGTTAAGTAGAAATTGTAAAAATTAGTAAGAAAGAAAAACAAAACAAAACAGTAAAACAGAAAGGTTGTTCTTGACAGAAGATGCTTCCTGATCAGAGGCAATGATCAAGATATCCCAGGGGCTGAACAGAATGATTCACAGGTGAAAAATAGGATGAACTCAAGTATGTGTTTTGTCATTATTTATTATGAATGCATTTGTGCAAATTTTCCAACTTTAAATTACATATTACTTCAGAGGTTTTATTATGCGTATTATCTTACCCTGAGTTCCCACAAGGTAGACAAGGAATATGCTATTATTTTTAATCTTCAAATAGTTATGTGAGAGTTTTCATGCTTTAACATGCTTATGTATAAGTGTATAATATATATATACATAATATATAAGTGTATGTATAGATGTGGGCTATATGTACATATATATATATTTATAAAACACTCCATACATGTATGCATCTTGGCATTCACACATAAACATACAAATGCATATGCATCTGCAGAGGAGTGGTGGCTGCCAAATAAAATAGAAAGGAAAAGGGGATAGTTGTGTCAGCTGTTATGTGACTTGTTTTCTCGGGGTTTGCATAAAATAATCAGGAACTTTCTCATTGGTAAGGTGACACTGGTGCAAAGACATGAAGGAAATAAGAGCTAGACAAAGGTAATAAAAATTAGGAAGACAGAGAATCAGAAACATATGGGGTCCACAACAGAGCAAGAGCAGAAAAGACAAAATCAGAGGAGAAGCCAGGCCATCTAACCAAGCTGGAAGGCCATAAGAGACATTTAATAAAGTCTCTTTTATGTATAAGTGTATAATATATTCATATAAAATATGCATGTATATATGTATATATGTGTGTTTATAAAACAATTCCATTTATCTGCCAGAAAATAATTTAATGTTCTCTCATATTAATCCATTATCTCAATATTCTCCCTAATACAAGATAAATCAATCCATTTATATGGCTTTATTCATTTAAGTTTTATAAATAATTTGATTTATTTAATATGCTTCTCTGCATTTTACTTTAAAATTATTAGCCAGGATTCCCATTTGTAGATGGACATTTCGTTTGTGGAGAGATGAGCAGTGAGATGGGCAATCTGCTAAAATGATGTTCCTATATGTTAAGATTTTGAATCTTAATAAACTTCACATACACCAACAGAAATTAATCTTTAATAACCAAAGTTTCTGAGGAAAAAGATTTCAGAAAAGTATATCATTTCATAATATTATAGATTTAAAGTTTTCTTAAAAACTGTTTTGGTTAAATTGTACAGATGTTCACATTTTGTTATATTTGAAAGACAAATTGCCAAATAAATCCCAGATACAGACATGATACTTTTTGTATGAATCAATTTAAACCATGCTTTCAGCATGATATTCAATAATTTCTGTCCACTGTATACAAAACATTCCCAGTCTTCTCTCCACTCACATACACACAGAGTGAATTTTTATGTCACCTCTACAATATTTATTTTGAAATATCACACTTTGCTTTTAAGATAATTTGAAAATTTTCCAAATCACTTCTAAATCAATGCCTAATATTCCTGACCTAGGAGTGAAGTCAGTACAGATTGCAACATGCCATTTTAAGATTCTTACATGTATGTTGTATTTTAGAATGAGGAGCCCGTGTTTTCTAGAGATGGAAGCAAATTCTTCATGACAGTTCCTGTAAAACAAGGGGGGCGTGGAGAATTTTACCACATAGCCATGTTCCTCGTCCAGGTAAGTGCCAGCTTCCTTGTGTGCTTTGGTTCCAGTGTCATGAGGTTCCTGAAAGACAATTTTCTTGTAAAGAATTAGTTCATTTTAAGCTGGGCACCAGTGGTTCACACCTGTAATCTAGCTTCTCAGGAGGCTGAGATCTGAGGATCTCGGTTCAAAGCCAGCCCGGGTGGGAAAGCCTGAGAGACTCATCTCCAATTAACCACCAGTGGCGCTGTGGCTCAAGTGGTATTGCACTTGCCTTGAGATGAAGAGCTGAGGGACAGTGCCCAGGCCCAGAGTTCAAGCTCCACGACCAACCAAAAAAAAATCATTTTAATTGTATAAACTAATGTAGTTCATTATGTCAATGTCATATATACACATATATGCACATAATTATCTTTAGTTGTATTCATCTTCCATTAGGTTCTCTTCTTCACTCTCCCTTCCCTCCTATTTTCCCCCATTCATCTTTTCAAATAGCCAAATAGTTCTCTTTCTACTTTCATGGGTTTTTTTTCTATCTAGATTTTGCATATGAGAGAAAATAGGTGATAGTTATCTTTTTTCTGACACTGGCCTGTACAGGATGATCAACAGTTGCATTATTTTTTTTCTTGTGAATGTCATAGTTTCACTTTTATATTTGAATAAATTTCACTGTGTGTGTGTGTGTATGTGTGTGTGTGTGTGTGTGTATAATTATATATACACCATGTTTGTTTCATCCATTTGCCTGCTCATGCGCTCCTAGGATGATGCCACAGCTTGACTCCCAGACACAGTCCCAAAGTCCAGCTCTGTGGCATAATGAGCACATAATGAATGTGGGGATGCCAATCAGTTGTAGTGCTCACCCCTTTTAGGAAGAGGGCTTCTGTAGTGCAGTGGTATTACACTCACCTGACACATAAATTTCGGAAAGAAGATCTCATCCCTAGCTGGAAAATCAAGCTATATCTTCCTACAAAACAGTCTCAACAGTCAATAAAATTTAGTGAACCATATTTATGTGCTATGAGCTAAGGACCTTGAGATATAAAATTTAATAAATGAAAGGCACACAACTATCAAGGACCTAAGGACAGCCTAGAGAATTTTAATTCATCAAATATACATTATCTACTTTGCAATTACAAGTAAAGGTTTTCAGAGTAGTGTTTTGAGGACTGAAAATGTAGCCTAGTGTTGGAACATTCTTCATAGACCATACAAATGGGAGTTCAGTTCTCAGTACTGTGACAAAACAAGTTTAAGTTACAAAACTAAATGTTTACAGTAATGAATTGTTTAATAAATTAAGCATACACATTTACAAGAAACCATAATATTTTTAAAAACAGTAATATGAATGTTTTGTAGGTTATCTATAAATAAAGTCTAATGCATGTTTGTAATGATTAGCTTAATTCTTTGAATTCTCAAAAACTTGTGTCAAAAGTTAAAATTTAAAACCTATGGATAGTACATTATTAAAGTAATTGTCCTGAATTTAGCTAAGTTTAATTAAGGCTGTAATAAATATTTTAGAACATCTATCATTTCCACAGCAGAGATATAGTTTAAATTTCATCGTATTTTACAAGGCAGAAAAAGCAGACTGATTAATTTACAGTGATGTGTAATGTGATTCCATTTACATTCTAAAGAAGTGCATGAATTTATAAATGAATGAAAATTTAGTTTTTAAATAAAATTATCAATTTATTATATCAGACAGGTAGAGTTTTAAGGTAACATTTTCCATTTTTGCTTAGTTTTTAATGCGATCTGGTAGTGTCACTTGTAAATTGTTGTACTTAACCTTTCCCAAGCAAAGAATACTTCATGGTAATAAATAAGAATATATTCTGGCCAAAAATTAAACTTTCCAAATTCATAAATATTTATGACCTCTTAATACATTTTTTCATTTCAGAATTTTATGTTCAACCAACTGCACAAAAACATACACGGTAAAGATTCTATAGTCTTCAAGTTGTTTATATAATGGGAGTGTGCAATATATATTTAAGTGTACAATTTCCAAAAGAGGCAATCTTCTTAACACATTGGGGGGAAAGAGAACTTGTTACAGTGTTGATGTTTTTGTCAGATTGAGAGATGAGGGATATTTTTTTTGGGGGGGGGGTGGTCTGGTCATGGGGCCTGAACTGTGGGCCTGGACACTGTCCCTCAACTCTTCAGCTCAAGGCTAGCGCACTACCACTTGAGCCACAGTGCCACTTCCGGCTTTTTTCCTTTTGCTTATGTGATGCTGAGGAATCGAACCCAGGGCCTCAGGCATGCAAGGCAAGCACTATACCACTGAGCCACCTTCCCAGCCTGAGGGGTAATTTGTTTTAGCAATGGAAAGAAGTATCTTCTGTCTGCATAATGAGGGCCTGGCATGCTTTCATTATTTATCCCACTATTTATCTCATTATTTATGAAGTGTTCCAAACAACTTCATATTGGTGATATGTTTCCTTTGTTCATTTCTTATTTGAGGATTCTAACAAAGCTTCATTGAAGTTGAAAACATTTATCTCCATTCTGGTTTTCCTCATGTTATTTTGTGGTTTGACTTTTTAGGAAATAAACATGGTAGTATGATTATTTGTGGATATGTTGAGAACTGACTGAAATTAACTCACTTCTTTAATAATAAAAGTTCTATGCTCAGGTAAATGCAATTTATACTTGTTTATACAAGCATATGCTTGTATGTATATTGCATACAAAAATCCACTTTTATGACTTATATAAGACTACTTCATTGATGTAAATACACTAGAAGAGATTAAATACCCTGAATAAACTAAATGAAGACATCTATACAATCATCCAGCCTCAGCATCCAGCCATATCAACTTTTAATAAACTGTTTCATATATTTCCAATTCCTTTTTCATTAAAATTACATGATTTTTCTTTAAAATTGCAGTCATAACATGATTTAGGTTAGCAATACTTCAAAATAATGTAAGAATTTTCTTATACAATTTAATTGCACTTTCCTCATATCATTTAATTACATTATTAATATTTTATATTTTAAATTTAATATTTTATTGATATCTTAATAGCTGGGCCACCTTTTCTCAAGTGGGCCTGGTTACTGTGTTTAAATGATCTAATTTAATTCACAATTAAATTCTTTTTTTCTGTTTTGCTTGGTTACAGTTATTGCCATAAAATTGCATTTGTAAATGTCAAAATGTATTTAGGCATAGCAAATAGTTATTTAAGTATTTTGCTTAGGCTTTAGTAGATAATACCAAAAGTGCAGACTAACCAGATGTGGTGTTAGACACCGATCATTCCATCACTTTTCTATTCTTCCTACTCTTCCTTACTACAGTATCTCACTTACTAGCAACATGGCCAGAAAATTAAATGGGAGAAAGGCCTACAGTTTGAGATAGCCCTGGGTCAGTTGAGCACTTGCTGCTTGGTTGTCAGTGACAGCATTCTCAGCCACTCAGAACAGAATGAAATTAATGAATATTTACGAGCAGTTTCCTCTCTTACCCAAATAGTGACTAGATTAAAAAAAAACAACAACATTAAATCTAAGTGACCAAATTGCTCTTCAGCTATTATGAAGAGTTCAGAAATGTAGCCACAAATTTATGTTATCTCTTTTGATGTACCAAAGCTGACTCTTGCCAAAGTAATTCTTAAAAATATGAAGAAAAAAGCTCATAGATTTTTTTCTATAGGAACACTTGTAACCTTATGTGTGTTGCAGTGTTGAGTCTTTCATGTTGGTATTTTCTATTTATTTTTTGTTTGTTTGTTTTTTGGTGTTTGTCCTAGAGCTTGACCTCAAGGCCTGGGCACTGTCCCTGAGCTTTTCTGTTTAAAGCTAGTATTTCACCATTTAAGCTACAGCTCCACTTCTAGCCCTTTTGGTAGTGAATTGGAGATAAGTATCTCATGGTGTTTCTTATCCAGGTGACTTGAAACCACATTCCTCAGATCCCAGTCTCCTAAGTAGCTAGGATTACAGTGCCAACAGTTTGAATTTTAAATGCTTACTTTACTCATTATGCTAAGTAACCTTAGGGAAAATTTTAGTAGGTTAATATTTAGTTGACATGTGCATAACCATTGTTGTAAAAAGTTAGATCATTGCCATTGGTTATCACTAAAGATGGCACTTACCTTATCATTTCTTTAGCACTGATTAGATCTGAAATTTCTGAGTCAAGATAAAATATTTCTGTGCTTTTATGTATGTATTCCATTTCATTATGTGAAAGCATAATTTGTGAGCACTTTCTGTTCGCTATTTCATTGAAATATTTATAATTTTTTGAAAAATCTATAAAGCTACAATAACTGTTCTTTTAGACCATTGATTCCAGGGTCTTTCTCATGATAGACAAGCACGATATAGTTGAGCCACATCCTTGCTTTTTGGTTACAGTTTGATTTTTTGGTTCCCGCTCCCCGCTCCTACATTTTTCCTCAGACTGATGTGGACTGCAATATCCTAGCTATGCCTCTCATACCTAAGTTTACAGACATCCACCACAATGCTTGGCTTATTTGTTAGATGTGGTATCAATAACTTTTTATTGGAATAGCTTCACTTCATGATGCTCTATTTTCTGAGTAGCTAGATGGATTACAGGCATGAATTATCTCACTTGAGTCGAGTCATCATGAGAAGAGCATATGCTCTTCTATGTGAAATTGTTCTGAGTAATTCACTGCAATATGATTATAAATACCAGCTTATGAACTTCCTGATACACTGAGGCCAAACATTTTTATATCCATTTTTAAAATTTAGTCCTTCAGAGAATTCCTCTGTCCTCCACAAGTAATAGTTTTCATGTAGTCCTCTAAGTTCTGAATTCCCTTCTCTGAAAGAGCAACAGCCTATCTCCTGAATATCTCCTGCAGTTAAAAGAAAGGTTCTTTCAAGGACATGGCAGCTTTTTCTCAAATATTGAGATGAGCAGACATTTTATTACATTAAGTGTTGCAAATTCATGGGATTAAGCAATTGCACTGTCATCGTCCAA